GCAGAGGGCTGGGGCTGTGTGGGGGTACAGGGCAGAAGGCTGGGTGTGGGCGGGGAGTTCAGGGGTCAGGGCAGAGGGCTGAGGTGTGTGTGGAGGTGCAGGGCAGAAGGCTGGGTGTGTGGGGGGGTTCAGGGCAGAGGGCTGGGGGGCTCGGCTCGTGGGGGTGCTCCCAGCCCCCTGCCCTGAGCGGCTCATGGCAGGGGGCTGGAAGGGATATGCCCTGTTCCACCCCCTTCCCCAAGGTCCCGTCCCTACCTCTTCTCTGCCTCCTCTATGGAGCAGCGAGCATGCTGCCGCTTGGCTCTGCTCCGCTCCCACTCCCTCTCCCCCTCGCATGGGCTATCAGCTGATCGGCGCAGGGAGAGGGAGAGGGAGGAGGAGGGGAGGAAAGCACCACGCTGGGGGAAGAAGTGGGAGAGGGGGGAAGCTTGGCTGCCGCAGGACCAAGCTTCTGCCTCCTACCCCCGCAAGGGAGAGCCGTGGGCGGGGGGGCTGAGGGCCAGGACCGAGGTAGGCAGCAGAGTGCCAGTCAAAATCGGCTTGCGTGCCATGTTTGGCACACGTGCCCTAGGTTGCCGACCCCTGGTTTAAACTATTGTAATGTACATGCAGAATAGACACATCCTTTCGCAAATTTAAGGCTCCGATAATTAGTAAAGGTAAAGACTTTTTCTGTGAGTAATACAGATTAAGTCAAATCCGAGTAATAAAACTCAACAGCAGAGGGAAAATACTGTGAAAATATACATTTCTGCTGTGGACCCAAGTGAATGCAGGCATCTTGATTGCATTTCTCAAAAAGATAAAGTTACATGTTATCACACAGCTCTTTCTAAGCAAGCACTCTATTCTTAAGGTGAACGCATTGCAGAGAAAACCTATTAAAAACAATAAAAGAACCCATACACTTTCTAAAAAGCTTACCAGAGATCAACCAACTCCAACAAGGACTCGAGTAGGTGTCAGTCCTTCCAACCCTTTCTCAAGGATTTGGGGCCCTTCTTTGAACAGAAGGTCCTGTCCATTTGCTGGATCAGTTTAAACTCAGACTATTTATCCCAGAGTCATTTCTTGTCTGTTGGTCTCTGGAGAATCAGTATATATGAGCCTTTCCAGGAGGTGGTACCTCTGTGGTGGGGTTACAACTAGGCTGATTTGCCTTAATCACCACCCGCTGTTTTTAGTTCTTGGAGGAGGGGTGGTAGCCCTCCCCCGTGACCTAGAACACATCATACATAAACCATTATTTTAAAACAATGGTCCTGAAAGATATTTAAACTTAATTCAGCAAAGGTCTCCCATGATATTGCAGGAAATTGCCTTATCACAGGAAGAATTTCCCTCTCTGCTGGCTACTTGTGTCCCAGAGATGTTCAAGTGATTACTGCTACTGTCTGTTTAGATACTACTACTGCAGTCATCAAGGGGGATGACCAATAAGTGGTTTTTATAAAACCATCTTGGCACAGCCTAGTGGAGGCTGGGTGCAAAAGAGACCCAGGGGCAAGACCAGATTAAATCAGCAATAAACCCATCTCGGTTTTTCCATGTTTTCCTAGCAATGTGGGATTTGCCCTACTGAATCAGACCCATTGGTCCAACAAGCCCAGTCTGGCCTCTAGCAGTGATCAATATTGATGCTTTAGCAGAGTATAAGGAAAAAACCCCCGATGAAGCACCTAGCTCATTAATACCAACCCCACTCATGACATTCTGTACCTCCTTTAAGCCACTTCAAAACGTCTTTGTTCTCTAATAAGAATCAGCTCAATCTCTTTACTCTTTCCTCATCACAGGTGCTATTAAAATTTGGAATTATTCTAACTACTCCACAACCTGTCAAGGTAACATTTTCCCTATGGAAATATGACCAAAATCTAAACTAAGTGTTCACAATTAAGTCTCACCAATTCTTTATCTTGTACCAATATAAATTACTGTTTATATTATCTCTTAATTCATCTGCTTTTTAAAAATAATCTACATACAGTGGACTAGTGGCATCACAGGGGATTCTGATATAAGCCTACGATTCCAGGAGCTGGGGCTTTAAGAAAAACACTAAATATTGTGAGGTAAAATTGCAAGAGTTGGCAACACTCCTGAGAAGTCGGGGAATGAGCAAGCAGATAAGATCTAGGAAAATAACAGTTGTTAGTTAAAACGAGAGTTGTTGTACAGATGTTATTCACAACCACTGCAACTACCTAGTTATTTATAACAGACATCATCAAAACATTGAAGTTTTACATTAGATGCTTACATCCAAAACAGTTATGCATACGACCAACAAGAATTTTCTCAAAACTGAATTTTCTGATACCTCATAGGCAATATCTCTGTAGTACGCTTCTAGTACATCATCTCAGTGTAGGATTTACTTGAACCACTTTTCTATCAAAACAATATTTACTTGGGCTTCAGCCTAGTTTCCCAGATGTGAAAAGGCATTAGCAACAGAAAAGGAACCTTCCACTTGAATGGAGTGCACCACTGTGGGTAAGTTCTTCCCCTTCTTAGTTCCCCTAATCCTCTTCTGTTGCTGCACAGCTGTGCTTGCAGCACATTCCTGATTTTACTTCATTTGGAAGCACTCATACAAGGCCAGGTTGTGCTTCTATCATCATTTACTAACAGTACTAACATAATGCCGAAAGGCCCCAGTAAACAGCTCATAGTAAGAGAGAGTGTCTTCCCTGAAGAACTTCCACTCCTTGCCTTGTCTGTTTAGATTGTGAGAAAAAGAGGTATTATCCCCAGCCTACAGATGGAAAACTAAGGCACAGAGAGATTCAGTGACTAGCCCAAGGTCCTACATGGAGTCTGTTATCTCAAGTCCCAGTTCAGTGTCGTAACCACTGAACCATCCTTCCTCTCAGGATCTCAAATCACAATCCCTCCCAGCACACAGGGGAAGTATGCAAGATGCAGCATCTATTTGGAAGGTGAAGCCATGCTCACCTTCCCAGCTCATGCCAGTGTGGAAGAGAGGAGGAATCAAGGCCAAATTCCACCTTCTCCCTGCTCCCTTCGGAGTGACTTGCCCCCAGGAACACTAGGCAGGAACAGTCCCTGTGCTTCTTGTGCCGTCCTTCATTTGTGCCAGGGTCAGAAACTATCTGGCCCAGAGACTAGTGATTAGTCACTCAAAGGCTGTTGGCACCACATTGCATATTGTTCTCAGGGCCTGGAGAGCAAAACAAGCTGAGACAGTTCCAGTGTGCAACTCTCCTATGATGTAGGAGAGCTGGGATCTCATTCTTAAAAAAATAATCCATTTATAATTCCATAGGAAGCACTAAACTATAAACTACACTATTACCCAGGGCAATTATGGCAGATATAATGAGGCTAACATTACTAATGTATTTAGTTGCAGAGCTGCAGTTATAGATTGTTTACAGTATTGGTGGCCAAGATGTAAGATCACGGATTTGGTGAAAGTATCATATCTCAGGTACGTACCCCCAGATTCCTGACGGGAACTTTGGAACAATTACAGCAGATGATGCCACCCAGGTAATCCATCCCAGGTATTACAGCAAGCCCAGTGAATTCTGGGACAAGTCTTTGGGAATTCAGTCAGTATTGTGTGACTCATACAAACTACACATGGTCAATAAAGCTTAAATAGTTGTATACCTCTCTATTGAGTTTCTATGCCCTGATTTAAGGAGCTGCCAGTAACTAGAAATGCTGTACTACACTATACCACCTTTTTGGGGGGAGAGAAGAGGGAAGGAGGAAAAAATGCCCTCCCCCCCCCGGTGTCTGGGTTCTGAAGCAAAGAATACTGAAGGTTTAGCCCAGGGGTCGGCAACCTTTCAGAAGTGGGGTGCCAAGTCTTCATTTATTCACTCTAATTTAAGGTTTCACGTGCCAGTAATACATTTTAATGTTTTTAGAAGGTCTCTTTCTCTAAGTCTATAATATATAACTAAACTATTGTTGTATGTAAAGTAAATAAGGTTTTTTAAATGTTTAAGAAGCTTCATTTAAAATTAAATTAAAATGCAGAGCCCCCTGGACCGGCGGCCAGGACCCAGGCAGTGTGAGTGCCACCGAAAATCAGCTCAAGTGCCGCTTTTGGCACCCGTGCCATAGGTTGCCTGGTTTAGCCCATGCAGTGGCTTGCCACACATCTAGCCATTCCCTTTCACCGGATCTCATAAACCTTCCTTTTCCTGCCGTTGCTGGATCAAAAGTAAACGTCTACATCCTGATATCAGAAAAGAATATTGATCAGTTATAGAGATGGCCAGTTTTTTTTTTTTAAGAATGGGAGCCTATTATTTCATTTCTGCTTTGTTTCCCTGTTACAACGGCTGGTAAAATAATTTTCTTTAGCTCGTCAGCAATTCCTGCGCTTTGGGAGATTGCAGAGATGTCATGACCTCGGACTAATGGGAGAGATAACATCCAGTCTCTGACTCAGCTAAGTAGCTTGATATTCTTGAGCCTTTTCTGTTAATTGGTATTATTGGTCATGAGATACCTCTTGCCAGAGACAATATTTTGTAAAAGCTCACAAGGGAGAGCTCTTGGAGCCACTTACCTACTGTAA